ACAAAAAGACAGATACTGTTATCTCGCTTATAGATGGAATCTAAACAAATCAAACTCATGGAAAGAGAATGGTGGTTGCCAGGGATAGGGGGTACGGTAACTGGGGAGATGCTAAGGATACAGACGTTCGGTTACGAGGGAGTTCTGGACATCTGATGTACAGCATGGGGACCACAGTACCGAATTAGGTGAGGTGAGAGATGTTAGTCTGATGGTAGTGTGCACTTCATATCCACATACACTGAAACACAGCATATCTTAAATACACAAAACTTTAATTTATAAATCACCCTTCAATAAAGATGGGGGGGAATCCTGAAACTTCCATTTCCCATGCAACACTAGGCAGGTCTCTTAAGCTGTGAAAGGGGAGATTGTAAGGAGTGAACTGAATCCATTCTAAAGCCCAGGAAGGGTTTGTGTCATCCATTAGGTGTGTTAGTGAACATCAAAAAGCACAATGAGGGGTGCCTGGGTGGCTCAGTGGGTTAAAGCCTCTGCTTTCAGCTTGAGTCATGGTCCCAGGGTCCTGGGATCGAGCCCCGCATCGGGCTCTCTGCTCAGCGGAGAGCCTGCTTCCTCCTCTCTCTTCTCTCTGCCTACTTGTGAGCTCTGTCAAATAAATAAATGAAATCTTTAAAAAGAAAAAAAGCACAATGAGATGCAGAGGTGGAGAGCGCTGGCCTGGTATGGGGTGCTCACTCTAAGGTGAGAGGTGAGAGCTCCATTTCCCGAGGAGCTAACAAATGCCACTAACGCTAATCCAAGCTGGGTCTCTATACTTGCTAGCGGAGTCCTAACTAGAGCGGAAGCTTTTGGAAACTACCATAGGGCTCTATAAAAGCGGTATATAGATGTAACTGGTTTATAAAATAATCAGTCTCTAAACCACAAAGTTGTCCTCTTCAAATGCTGAGTAGGGTGAGCAGGGGCAGGCACAATGGACACTGTCCGGAAGTCACTAAGGAAGCTCTCTAACCTGTCCAGGGATTCATCTCCTGTGCTGTTCTGGGTGAAGGGAAACAGGTGCTGGTTTTAGAACTTCACAAACTTACCCACTCTACAGAGGTAGAGACTAAAAAGGGCGCTCAGTGCAGTCTATCTACTTCCTTAGGTAACAAGGGAAAGGCAGGGCCCCAGGGATTTTAAGATCTCGGTGAAGTTCCAGTGGGATCTGGTTGTTCTCCCTGAACGAGCAGATCCCGTGCTGGCACATTACACATGGAGGCCCCACTCGACACCAGGTCCGTCTTTGTCAGGTCAAGGTCCAGCTTAACCACAGGCTCTCTTCAACCGGTTCTCCTCCCCCCACCCCCTCAGCTTCTATACCCCTACGACTGCAAAGTAATTGACTGCTCTACCAATGCTAGTGGAAATTAAGAAAGGATTTAGCACCTCTGCAATCTCCTGGACTTTTTCCAGAACACAGCTGAATGCAGCTGTTAAAAGTGAAGAAAAGGGGCGCCTGGGTGGCTCAGTGAGTTAAAGCCTCTGCCTTCGGCTCAGGTCATGATTCCAGGGTCCTGGGATCGAGTCCCACATTGGGGGCTCTGCTCAGCAGGGAGCCTGCTTCCTCCTCTCTCTCTCTCTCTCTGCCTGCCTCTCTGCCTGCTTGTGATCTCTGTCAAATAAATAAATAAAACCTTTAAAAAAAAAAAGTGAAGAAAAAAATTACATATATAAAAATGTCCTGGAGACCCTCTATCTAAAAAAGGAGAAAAACCTATTCGATTCGTCCAAAGACACAAGTATGAAATAAAAATTTTAAAACTCACAACTAAAATGCTTAGAGAATGTAATTTCTACTTAACTTATATGTCCAGTTGATAGGCTGTTTACAGAAAAAGTATTAAAACACATTTAAATGGACTGGCCTATCTGGAACATGAAGTCTGGGAACTGATGGTCTTTACGCTTCAGATCATTAGCATGAGTAAGTACTGGGTGTACTTAATCACATTCTACCACTGGTTAGCTGGCTTTTTAATTACACCATCTCATTTTTACTTTATTTAAAGATTTTATTTATTTATTTGACAGACAGATATTACAAGTAGGCGGAGAGGAAGGCAGAGAGAGGAGAAGCAGGCTCCCTACTGAGCAGAGAGCCCAATGAGCCACCCAGGCAACCCACACATCTTTTTTTTGTTTTTTAAGATTTTTTTATTTGACGGAGATCACAAGTAGGCAGAGAGGCAGGCAGAGAGAGAGAGGAGGAAGCAGGCTCCCCACAGAGCAGAGCGCCTGATGTGGGGCTCGATCCCAGGACCCTGGGATCATGACCTGAGCCGAAGGCAGAGGCTTTAACCCACTGAGCCACCCAGGCGCCCCACACATCTCATTTTTTAAAAGATTTTATTTACTCATTTGAGAGAGAGAGAGCACAAGCAGAGGGGCAGAGGGAGAAGCACATTCCCTGCTGAGCTGGGAGCCCGACACAGGGCTCAATCCCAGGTCCTAGAGATCACGACCTGAGCCAAAAACAGACTTATCTGAGTCACCCCAGTGACCATACACATCTCATTTTTACGGAGTGCACTGCTACTCATTACAGAGTACATCACCTGTGACATTAACATGGCTGCTATCCTGTAACAATTTCCTGTTTTTATACCACCTTTGAAGAGTTCACTTAAAATAAAAATATCTTGGGAGCACCTGGGTGGGTTACTTCGCTACTAAGCATCTGATTCTTGATTTTGGCTCAGGTCATGATCTCAGGGTTGTTAGATATAGCCCCGCATTGGGCCTGGAGTCTGCTTGAGATTCCCTGCCTGTGCCCCTTCCCCCTGGCACGCTTTCTCCAAAAATAAATTAACCTTTTAAAAAATGTTATTTTGAGGGGCACCTGGGTGGCTCGGTTTTTAAGCATCTGCCTTTGGCTCAGATATCAAGCTTCATGTTGGGCTCCCTGCTCAGCGGGAAGCCTGCTTCTCCCTCTTCCTCTCCCCCTGCTTTTGTTCCCTCTTGCTGTCAAATAAATAAAATCTTTAAAAAATGTATTTTATATATATGTATGTATATATATATATATATATATATATATATATGTCCATTTTGATTGAAAAAAAAAAAAAAGAAATACTGATAATATGCTCCTGCCTCAGACCTACTGCCCAGCGATGTGTTTTAACACTCCTTCCAGGCACCTGCTTAAGCTGGGAACCCACTACTACGAAGAAACCTCATCTACTGACAGGAAAGCACGGGCTCTTCACCTGCGATCTGTCAATCCCATGTCAAGAGCACATGTGCGCTGTCCTGGGAGAAGCTGCACAAATGTCAACATTCTCCGAGGGATATGAACCGAAAAACAGGTGCCACCACCAGGAATCAAATTGAGAATTCACTTCTGCAAATATACACTGAACAAAAATTTTCTCCAAGCCCTTTAATATTTAAACAGTTGAGGCACAAGCAATAAAACTGTTTATTTTTATGTTACAAGAAAGTAAGTTTTGTGTAACATTTGCATGATATACTAATTTTCTCAAAATCTTTTCTGTAATATTTCATTAATACTCTGGTCCGTAAGTTGGTTCAACAAGGTCAGAAAAGCAAGCAGAAAGATGGTAAAAAATATCAACCATTTTGAGGGATAAGAGGACTCAAACATCTGCTGACTGCCTACTATGTCCGCTGTACTAGGTTTTTTATGTACTTTACATAAATTCAATGTGAATGTAAATTCTAGTTATCTATGAACAGGACAGCATGGACACGGCCAGGTAGGCCCGTTTTGAGTGCACTTCCACCTTATGTACAAACTGTGGAATCAGACAGCTCCTTCCCAGGGAAGCACACTAACCATGCACTAATACATATTTCCACCAAAGACTTTCAAGTCTGTGGAAGCTGCACACATGTTGCTCATGTGCAACGTGCACATGGGCACATTCAGGTGGTCGTCACTCTAATTAAACTGGGGTTGAGCACCATTTGCCCAACATCATCCCTACTGCCTGGTTCCATCACCCTGTAAAACTTTAGACAAGAAACCATGTTCTATAATTATGGACCTGGGAGAAAACCTTGTTTGGACTTTTTTTTTTAAAACCAAACTATCACCTTTCAGAAGTGGCAACTAATTTTAAAGCACAAAAGTTGTCATTTAAGTAAGAAAATGACCGCATAATCAGATCCTTTGGGCAGACAGCATAGCCTATTCAACAGGCGTTAGATCAAAACTGATTATCTTTCAGAAAAGCCAGTGCTACCCAGCTTAGACTACGCCACAATTCTCAAGGGCATACAGCCGCCGTCAAGTCCTCTCCCAAAGCTAAGTGGACTGACTGCTCACTCCTCCAGCTCGTCCTTGGCTTCTCTAGGTCCATTCCTGCCTTGCCACGGGGTCTGCCCCTTGCTCTTTTCGCCCCCTACGTTCTCACTCTGACCTATACACTGAATGCCCTTGGTCTGAAGACTCCCCTCTGGCTGAGGGGAGTACAAGATGAAAAGACTGTTTTCCCAGCTATGTGACCAATGACCACGACACTGCTTTGGATTTGGGATCTATGAGTGAAACTGACTAATCAGCATGTTTGCACTGCTCACATCCCTATCCCCAGACAAGAGCAGGCAGGATGCCATCAAAAAATTTTTTAAAAATTAAAAAAAAAATTTTAAAAACCATACTGTGTAAGGGTACAGGAGCACAATTTTGGAAGGTACATGAGGAAGAGTCCTTAAATGTCTGCGTTACGTAGTTTAATGATCTAATTTTCTAGATGAGAATACTCGGGGTAAGTTCAGAGATGTAATGTGACCTGCCAAAGGCTATGCAAGCTGTCCAGAAGCAAAAACTTAGAACTATACTCCAAACTCTTTCCTCTATACCCCTATCACAACAAAAACCCAATGCTAAGGTTAAGGAAAATTTATAAACAAATTAAGTAAAAGACTTAAGTACATAGGAAAAGTCTGCAGGATCGCTCCAGATTTTGAGATAGAATAAAGGCAACGTGTATGTACAGGGAGGAATTGTTACTCAGTTCAACAGATGACAAGTACGTACCAAGGATCTTTATTCTCAGACCTAATGTTCAACCTGTGACTGCAGATAACATGTCACTATTTTGAGAACACTTTCATTCTCTCCAAGTCTTCAGCCACAAGGTTATACCTTATTCTCATCATAACGAGTTAAATGAATCAGATTGAAAGAGGACTGAGGAGATACACTGAAGATAAAAGCAAAGGGGAACAAACATTTTACAAGTTTATCCCAGTTACCCTAAAGGTTAAGTTTCAGATTTACAAGAGTAATGACAGAACTGCATGATTTCAGTGAAAACCAACACAAGTTAGATCTTTAAAAAAAGGGGTGGGGGTGGGACAATCAATTCAGAAATACTAAGTCAGGCAAGCATGCAAACTTCAGAGTATAAAAAATGCAAGGCCTGGTTGTCCAAACAAATATATCCCTCAGGAGAAGGTGGTTTTAAAGATGCGTAACAGAAACAAATTAATTAAAAGCTGAAAGGGACACTTCTCTGAGTTAGCAAACCAATTCCCTCATTTTTTAAGTGAGGAAAGAGGGTAGACAGTAATTAGTGAGGCTCACATGGCTAGATTAAGGATGTACATAGATTTAATTCCCGGTGCTATTTACTACATACATCTAAAATACGATAAATATCCAGAACACATTAAGCCCACCGATTAAAATGACAAATACACAGGGAGGAGGTGAATTAATACAGCACAGCAGCACTTCTCACATCATATTTAAGAGATTAAATGGAAAAAAGTAATCTCTCAAAGATTTTAATGCTCAGTTTTGATAAAGATTCCATCGAATTCTTTAATGTAGAGCAAATGTACTAGCTTAAAAAAACGTGCATTCTTCAGCTTTCTCCTATACTTTTTCTGCTTATCTTTCAAAACTAAGCACTGAGTATTTCTAACATAAGTAATGTGATGTTATATGTACACTTTAATTGCACGTTTTCGGAATAAAATAAATCCATGATATTTTGGTAACTCATAGTGTATTTATAAAATGAAAAGCTTTCTATCAAAATACACTTTTCACTGGGAAAAATAAATAAAACAGACAAATGGATCTACACAAAGTAAAAATTAACTTTGGTAGATTTCAGTGTAGGACAGTCCATAACAAGCCTATTTGCCCTTTTCCCCCCAGAGCTGCTCATCTTCCAACTTAAGATTTTAAAAATATTTTTAATTGAGATTATGTTGACATTTTCTCATTCCACATCATCTTCAGCCAAGCTCTGAGCACTTACAATTCTCTGAAAGAGAAAAAAAACAATTTTAATTTTTAGAAGTCCTTTGTGGGAGGCAAGAATATCCAATGGAAAAAGACAGTCTCTTCAATAAATGGTGTTGAGGAACAGTACAGCCACATGGAAAAGAATGAAACGGGACCACTTCCTTACATCCTGCATGAAAATAAACTCAAAATGAATTAAAGATCTAAATGTGAGACCTGATACCATAAACTCCTAAGCAGTAATCTTCTTGGACACTGGCCTCAACAACATTTTCTAGGTGTGTCTCCTCAGGCAGGGGAAACAAGCAAAAATAAACTACTGGGACTACACCAAAGTAATAAGCTTTTACATGGCAGAGTAAACCAAGAAAATGATAAGGCAACCTACTGAGGTGGAGGACATCTGTACATGGTATATCTAATGAGGGGCTAATTACCAAAATATAGGGGCGCCTGGGTGGCTCAGTGGGTTAAGGTCTCTGTCTTTGACTCAGGTCATGATCCCAGGGTTCTGGGATCGAGCCCTGTATCAGGCTCTCTACTCAGCAGGGAGCCTGTTTCCCCCCCACTCTCTGCCTGCTTCTCTGCCTACTTATGACCTCTGTCTGTCAAATAAATAAATACTCTTTTAAAAAATCCAAAATATAAAAAGAACTCATACAACTCAACAGGAGGGAAAAAAACCCTAATAATCCAATTAAAAATGGGCAGAGGACCTAAACAGACATTTTCCCAACAGACAGATGCAAGGATGCTCAACACCATTAATCATCAAGGAAATGCAAATACAAAACCCCAATGAGATATCGCCTCACACAGTGTCAGAGTGCCCAGAAACAGGAAGACAAGAAGTAACAGGTGTTGGCAAGGATGTGGAAAAAAAGGAACTCTCATGCACTTTTGGTGGGACTGTAAACTGGTACAGCCACTGTGGAAAACAGCTGAAAGGTTCCTCAAAAAATTAAAAAATAGGAATACTGTTATGGTCCAGTAATTCCACTGCTGGTTATTTACCCAAGGAAAATGAAAATAGAGGGTGCATGGGTGGCTCATTCAGTTAAATCATCTGCCTTCAGCTGAGGTCATGATTCCCCTGGGCTCCCTGTTCAGAAGAAAACCTGCTTCTCCCCTCCCTTTGCCACCCAGTCATACTTGGTCTCTCTCAAGTAAAATTAAAAAAAAAAAAAAAGAAAAGAAAAGAAGAGAGATGCCTGGGGTGGCTCATCCCATTAAGCCACTGCCTTCCGCTCAGGTCTTGCTCTCAGGGTCCTGGAATCAAGAGTCCAACATCAGGTGCTCTTCTCACATGAAGTCTGCTTCCCCCACTCCCTCGGCCCCTCCCTCCTAGCTCATGCGCATGCTCTCTCTCTCTGATAAATGAATGAAATCTTAAAAAAAAAAAAGAAAAGAAAATGAAAATACTAATTCGGAATGATGTATGCACCTCTAGATTTACTGCAGCATTATCTGCAAGAGCCAAGATATGGAAGCAACATTAGTGTCTATCAATGGATGAATGGATAAAGAAGTGGTAACCATATACAGTGGACTATTATTCAGCCATAAAGAATGAGATCTTGCTATCTGCAACATGGATGGACCTAGAGGATATTATCCTAAGTGTTATTTCACTAAGATAAACACCAGCTGATTTCACTTATATGTGGAATCTAAAAACCAACAAACGGGACACCTGGGTTGGCTCAGTGGGTTAAACCTCTGCCTTCAGCTCAGGTCATGGCCTCTCTGCACAGCAGGGAGCCTGCTTCCCCTCCTCTCTCTCTCTCCGCCTGCCTCTCTGCCTACTTGTGATCTCTCTGTCAAATAAATAAGTATTTTTTAATTAAACAAATAATAAAATAAATACCAACAAATGAACAAACAAAGGAGAAAGAGATCTCTAAGTATGAACTGGTGGTTGCTGGAAGGAAGTGGGTGGGGGCAAAATTAAGTGAAGGGGAGTGACAGGTCCAGGCTTAAAGGATTAAAAGTACAGCACAGGAAATACAGTCAATGATCACATAATACTGCTGTATAGTGAGACAGACGGCAGCCACATTTATGGCAAGCAGACCATAACGTACAGACCTGTCAAATCAGTAACTTGTACGCCTGAAACTAATGTAACATCGTGTGTCATCAATACTTCAATTAAAAAAATTTTAAGGGGGGGAAAAATTATGTCCTTTGTATTCAAAGAATACAAAACTTGCTAAGGTTTACCCATTCTGAGAATTCAATACTTAACATTTCTAAACACTGTTATCAAAGAAAATAATGATCACACTACTGTCAGTCCCATCTCAAAATCTAAGGAATAATAGTATGTTTTACATGTTAATCAATTATATAACTAAAACCAAAAAGAATTCAAGATATCTTTTCACTCTCATATAAATTAAGAGTACTGGTCATTCAACGCTCCAAACATTTCCCTTTTTGGCTGAAAATGCTCAGTCAAGGAGGAATACAGTAATTCCAAAATTAGCATTTGAAAATATTTCCAAATAACATGAGTTAACTGAGTAAAGGAGGTCATTTTTATAAAGAGGAGTTCAGGTTTCATCCTGAACTCATCCACATTTCAAAAGACCTCACATCCTCAGGTCCATCTTCCAAAAGCACTACGCTATGTTGCCTTTCCAAGAGCAGGTAACATTAAACAGAGGATTCTGATTTAGATAGACTAGGAACCACATTAGTCTAAATAAAAAGGGTTAAGACCAAATCTTTGGTTTTTTCAACCCTTTCCCTTAAATCTCTGGGGCCTTTATTTTCTCTCCAGTCCCTTTTCAACCTGAGTAAAGATCAGTTTGAGGAATTAAACAATCTTAAATCACACCAACTGTGGAAACTCACACACGAGTAAACAAACTATTCCAAAAACTAGATTCATTTTGATTTCTTGGAAAAAAATAAAAATGAACAGAATGCCTCTTAATCAATTCTTAAGTTATAAATAATCTTTTATACAAATGGTGGTGTATTCAATATAGCTTTGGAGATGCAGTCAAGTAACTCCAAGCCCAAAGCCCATCTTGGCAGAAGCAGAGGCACTGGGGCTTTTTAGACAAGTGAAGTCAGAGGATATCCAACAATCCTTTAAGATCTAATTACGGGCTATGTCATCTCAGCCCCTATGCCCTCTGCCAGGCAACATAACTGAATTCATGGGCTCACAAAAGTCGACAGAAAGGTAGTTTCAGAAAGTAGCTGAGAGTGGCCCAATTCTGGTGAATACCAAGGCCTCAGATTTCAGAATACGAGACGTACTTCTTGATGCACACATAGGACACAATGACTAGATCTTAGTATCGCTCACTCCAATATTGTTAGGGAAGAAAAATTTCAAGCACTGCTATCTCCAATTCTACTTTGATTCCAAGAGTTTCAAATTTCATCATGTTCACTAGATTAATTTTTAAATGCCAATGTCCTTAAAACATTTACTTCTCAGATTCTACTCACTTTTACTAACATTTCAAATCCTTACCTGACTAATTGTTGGAAGCTTGGTCAGAAGCATCTGGAACACCGGTGGTGGGAGAGTCTGCTGTAACACTTGCAGCAACTGCTGCGGCTGTCCACACACAGCAATTGCGTTTGTCAGATGGTCTACACCTTTCTCATATTCTCCTGAAAGGGTTACATAAAAATAACATGTGACCTGGAAAGCCTTTGCCTTTGTCAAAAATTCAACTCTAAATCCTTCACTGTATCTCCAAGTGATACTGACCAAAAACATCCCACAAGTAAAAACTTGGAAATAATCTACAGTACATTCATATAACTGAGTGTTATGAAAGCATTAACAAAAATGAATCAGATCACAGGTACTGATACAGAAGTGTCTTCAAAACATACAAAAAGGGAGAAATTAAAGTGCAGAAGTGTCCAGGTATATTACCATTTACAGACTTAAGAGTATTTCTGAAAAATTATATAAGAAATTGCTCACTTGGGCACGTGGGTGGCTCAGTCCATTAAGCATCTGCCTTCGGCCCAGATCACAATCCCAGTCCTGGGATCAAGTCCCACATAAGGTCTGTGCTCACTGGGGAGGCTGCTTCTCCCTCTGCCTGCCGCTCCCCCTGCTTCTGCTCACGGCACGCGCTCTCTCACTCTCTCAAATAAATAAAATCTTAAAAAAAATAAATAAATAACTTGCTAACTGTGGAACACTAACCTTCTGAGAAGAACTGGAAGACTGGGGACTGAGGTGGAAAGGAGGCCCAAATTCACTTTAGATTAATCCTTTTTACTATTTTGAATGTTATCAGATGGAATTTCAAAAAAGAAAATTTATCTTACAGTGGACATATTACTTTTGAAAGAAAAATGATTACATATAACACAAACTGAGCAAATTTTAATTATGTCAAAAAATTATTTCTTCAACTTTCTGGGTTGGTGAACACATCGAGGTACTAAGAGGGTGGTGCATCCAGACATAGTGGAAGATCCTCACCCCCACACCTTGCCCTATACGATAAACCAGTCAACAGTTTTCTGACCCTGACTAAGAACGTGACTAAGTAAGGGACTGCAGAACGGCACATGAAGCAGAGGAACTGCCGGCTGCAACATTTCCCTTGAGAAAAGCTAAGGACGGAGGTATTCAAACTGAAAAAAGCAGAACTCTACAAAGCATTAAAAATGGAAAATACAAAAAACTTAGATCTTCTGCAAGGGCCTGGACTTGCATTGGGGGATACAATGGCTCCACGGACTTGGAAATTAAGATGCCACTTGGCCACTGAATCCTCGTATCACTGAATTTACAGGCAATACAGGGGATTACAACTCTGTTGCCTGGGGATATTAATTCCAATTATTAAATGGAAACAGAGCTGCTACTGGACTGTTGTGTGTAGAACACAGGTCCTGAGACACCTCCTAATATTTCTAAATACACTGGAAGCAGTTAATGTACCACCACAGCAACTCAATGCAGTTTCCTCTCTGCACATGCAGAGCCTGTTAGCATCATCCTGAGATGAGATCTGGTTCAGTTAACAGAATTATGCTTATGGGAGACCCCTAGATGGAGGAGACCACCAAGCAATGAGGTTCACTGCCTAAATCACTTATGCCTTCACAAGATTTACTTTGATATTGACTTTTTCCCTAGTTTTAACCACCTGAGTCTTTAACATCATGTTCGTTTGGTAGTTTCCACCAGAATAAAGGCAGCTTGGCAGAGTTAAGTAACCCTCTGGACAGTGCTGAGCTACAGTGTGAAACATGAGCTTGGAAAAGAAGAGTAACTGCTGCCTGTCCTTCCCTGGCCTTCTTCCCAGGCACCATGAGTTACTGTCCTCAATCTGGAACTGACAGCTCAAGTCAACAGATGGCCACAGTGCATAGATCTCCAAGGCAATCCAAACAGAAGTTATTATGAGTGTACTTTTTTCTTTCTATTTTTTTTTAAGATTTATTTGACAGACAGAGATAACAAGTAGGCAGAGAGGCACGCAGAAAGAGAGGAGGAAACAGGCTCCCCATGGAGCAGAGAGCCCGATGTGGGCCTCGATTCCAGGACCCTGAGATCATGACCTGAGCCGAAGGCAGAGGCTTTAACCCACTGAGCCACCCGGGTGCCCCGAGTGTACTTTTTTCTAATATGTTTGACTGTAAGTAAAATAATTTAATATAGCAATTCTAGGGGCACCTAGGTGGCTCAGCTGAAGCATCTGCCCGGGTTCTGGGATCAAGCTCCACACTGGGCTCCCTGCTCAGCATGAAGTCTGCTTCTCCCTCTCCCTCTGCCCTGCCTGCTCTCTCTCTCTCAAATAAATAATGTTTTTAAAAAATAAATTAATTATATAAAATAGTGTTTCTATTTTGGAAGATAGAAAATCATGACAGTATCAAAAAGACCTCTTTATTTAGGAGCATGAACAAAGTATTTTGAGACTGTTTGCATGAAATGAAATACAACCTATACCTTAGATATCTCTATACATGCAGATTTTTCTTTTCAAATACTAAAGTAAGAGTCTCTCAAAAGAGCTCGATGAAGATTTAAGTGCTTTACTATTACCCCATGATTAAACCTCATGTGTTTCTTATTGCAATAGGTTAAACGAGCCAAAATTATTTCCCAGTAACACACCTGCATTTTTATTTATATATATTATCAGCCTACTACGCCATCCAAATAAGGTAATTATTTCCTACAGAAAAAAGCAAAGCAAAGCAATTACTGGGAAGGGGGAGACATGACAAAAAGTTTAACGTGTCATTACCACCTCAAACCTTTAATCCTTTCCATAAAAACAAATTAAAAAAATCACAAGTAACCTCCACCATGTAGTTCAATACTATCTAAATCTACGATACAACAATGAGCATTAAGAAAAACTTGAGACCTCATTTATCCAAGTGATACTGACCAAAGTGATACTTCAAAGCTACTTTTGAAATAAAAGCTAATTTGGGGGCACCTGGGTGGCACAGTTGGTTAAACATGAGACTCTAGATTTCAGCTCAGGTCGTGGTCTCAGGGTCCTGTGATGGAGCCTGATGTATCTGAACTGGGGTGTGGAGCCGGCTTTAAGATTTGATCTCTCCCTCTGCCCCTTCCCCTAACCCCAGTTCCCTGCATATAAACATTCTGTCTCAATAAATAAATAGAAATCTTAAAAAAATAATAATAAAAGCTAATTTGTCACTAAAAAATTTACAAATACATTTAAGACTCTACTGAATT